GATAGATAGATAGATAGATAGATAGATAGATAGATAGATAGATAGATAGATAGATAGATAGATAGATAGATAGATAGATAGATAGATAGATAGATAGATAGATGACTCAGCCTCCCACATCCAACGCTGAAGACACGTTTCAACTCCTCGTTTACGTCTGCAGGGGATGGGACGGTATCATCCCTCCCAGCCTTCCCCAATCAGGGGTCCCTTCGGATTGTGCTCGACTCCAGCCCCACCAGCCAGCCCAACAATGACAGCTGAGGTGTCAGGAATCGCATTTCAACAGACCAAAGAAGAGGCCTGGCTAGAAAGGCCAGGATGGCGGGTGGGATCGTAACCTCCCATAATCTGGAAAGCCCCAGTTGCAATGATATGATACTGAATGACTGCTCTATGGTGAGCTGGAGTTCAAGCAAGGGCCCGACCTAGGTTTACTCTCACGCTCTCCGGGACTACAGATGGGGTGAAAGTCCCGCATTTTTTTTTTCTCCGCGGCCTTTCACCCACCGCAAATCCGGCACCGCCGAAGCCCCTCAGTCCCGACAAGTATCCCCACCTCCTCGCCCAGAGCCCTTAAAGAGAAACCACTCACTCCGTTTGCGCCATTTGCTCGCTTCTTCAAATCTTAACGGGGCGAGAATATGTTATTTCTTTCCTCCTTTCACCCTCCCGCCAACCCTCACCATCGAGCGTTAGAACTACACTGTCCCAGGCCGACTTCCGGGTTCTTGTTTGCGACGCTCTGGAACCGGTATGACGCATCTCTATGGCAAGCAAGAGTCAAAGAAGGGCCGCAGGGGGAATTGAGGCAGGGGTAGTCAACCTTGGCTCTTTTATGACTCGTGGACTTCAACTCCCAGAATTCCTGAGCCAGCCATGCTGGCTCAGGAATTCTGGGAGTTGAAGTCCACGAGTCATAAAAGAGCCAAGGTTGCCTACCCCTGAATTGAGGTTTAGCGCCGGGTCTTTCTCGGTAATTACTACATCGCCGCGTGGGTGGGACGTCACGTCATGACCGAGATTTGCATATCCGGCTTTGTAGGGTGGCGCTTCCGAGCAGGGGCACCCCCCACCTGCTGCTCAGGTGTGGCTGTTATGTGGGAGCGAAACTTTGAGGAATCAATCAAACGTCACTGTGGTGTAGTCAATTCAATTTTCAGAATTAATCTGGCACGCCAAACCATGCTATGTTGGAATTACTATTCATGTTGGGTGACTCCAACCACTGGCTGCGTTCTCACAGCCCGTAAATTGTGATTGTTTAAATAGTGCTCTGTGGAATTCTGACTTTTTTTGTGTGCCTTTTAGTCCGCTTTGGATTCCTGGGGACTAGATAAAAAAAGTCCCTGGAGTTTTCTCAGCAAGTTTTTTTTCAAAGTGGTTTGTCACTAGTTTAACATATAGGATAGTATTTTAAAACCAGGTACTATACTTAAGTAGTATGTGGCAATTTACATCATTGTGTTTTCCAATGGAATAGTAAATTAAGCTATGTTTGCACAACATGTTCACACAACATGCAAGTCATAAATGGACAAATCGCAGTATGGCTTAATATGTGTGAACTGTTTAATTATTTTTAATTTGAATTATAACAAAAAACCCTAAGGATTATCCTCCACCACTACCCCGTCCAAATACATTGTTTGTTAGAGATCTTTCACTCTGAGAAAGTTAAATTAATACATCATTAGCTCACTTTAACTTGAATGGAAAACAAACTAAGATGGAAAAGGAGAAACTTCCTGACAGAACAATTAACCAGTGGAACAACCTGCCTCCAGAAGCGGTGAATGCTCCAACACTGGAAGTTTTCAAGAAGAGTCTGGACAGCCATTTGTCCGAAATGGTATAGGGTTTCCTGCCTGAGCAGGGGGTTGGACTAGATGACCTCCAAGGTCCCTTCCAACTTTACTATTATTATTATTATTATTATTATTATTATTATTATTATTATTATTATTATTATTATAAAATGATGAATAGGAAATTTAGAGCAGTCAAAGATAATTTCTTTTCATAGGTAATTACTGAAAGATTTGATACCTATGTATAAGTTTTTAAAAGATTATTTTAAGCAAACTGATAAGTGAGCAACAGAATGGAAGTGTTTCTCTTCATCCATCACCTGAACTGGGTGGTAGACTTGTAGGCAAGAGACTTAAATAA